TGTTGTTTTGTTGTAAGACTCTAAGTGCTATCCTATTGGGTTTTGGCAGGGTTGCTACTATGTTTGTTTGATTAAATTTCTTATTTTCCTTAAAAAAAAAAAGTTCAATTTTCATGTTTAATTTCACAATCATGCTCGATTTTCATAGTTTCGTTCATGATTATGTTCGATTTTACAAAATTGTCATTGCCATTAATCAGTTTTAGAGCTCCATCAATGGCTTTGACATTTCTTCTGTTTTTTTTTTACACCCATCAATTTACATTTTTTATAATTTCTTCTCTTCTCAAGCATACTCTCAATCAATAATTCACCACCACTTCCAATCGTCTCTCCCACTTTTGATTCTCTTCCCAAGCTCATAGGCGTCGAAGGCACAAGATTCATTAGAGGGAGGTAGTGGCGATGGAGGGGGAAATTAAAACTCTAACGATGGCAGTGATTCATCCATAAACACCAACAAATAAATAGTTTTTAAGTTTAGACTTGAAATGCTACATACTTCAAAATTAATAGGGTGGAATTGCTTTAGATTTGTCACACACTTTATTTGAATTTTCAATTTCACCATTTCAACTTTTGCAATTGAATTATACAATTTTAAATCAAATTCATCTTATAGAAACATTACCTAAGGTTGTGTTTGGATACTAGTAATTCATTTCAAATGCTTGAATTGAAATTCAGAATTTGAAATATTAGAATTCAATTTCAAAAGATGTGTTTGGAAAACATCATTATTTCAATTCTAGAATGTCAAATTCCAAGTCATGTTTGGGATGAGTAGAATTTGCAAAGACGGAATTGAAACTTCTATGAGTAATATCAACATACTCTGTATTATTCATCAACAGCGGCTAATAAAATTGAAGGGTACCAAAAAAAAAAAAAAAAAAGAAACATAGTCAAATTAGAAGACTTTATCGGCAGTGGCCATCATCATCTTCGTCACTAGCGTCAGATCATACAAGAGCAAATTATGAAGTAGATGCTTCAACTCAAATATAGGTAATATTGTGGCATAAATTTCAAATTTTTTTTTTTCAAAAATCGTAAAAGATTTGATTTTTTACATCAAATTATAAACCCTAATTTTTGCCCCTTTTTTATTAGTGAATGAATAAAAAATGATTTCATATAAATTGTCAAAAATAGATTAATCCAGAAGAACCTAAAGTTTTATTAATTTTAATTTTGGAAGTATATTTATACCGGAGTACTTGATATGTGAAAATTATACCCTACATCCTAGTGTAGGATGGTCTACCTACACCCCCTGATGCTACGCCATTTTGTAGCTTGCGGGGAGTACTCACAAGCTAATTCATGCTTCAATTCTTTCCTTTTTTTTATTTATTTTTTTAATTCCTTGTTTCTTATTATTCAAGCTATGTATATAAATGATTTTAAACCCAATATTTTCTCTCTCCTCAATTGATCAATTTCCATTTTTCTACCTACATTCTCTCTAGTTAATTCATCTTCTTCATTTGATTTTATACTAATTTTGCCGTTTATTTTTCCTACGATTTTGATAATTGTTGTTGATCGTCAATGGCTGATTCTTCCTCTGCTAATTTCGATCGTGATTACGAAAGTGTGTTTCCGTCTTCTAGAGTTCGATTGATTGATTCGTTTGTTCATCAACAATGTGAGTAATTACAATCATAATTTTGTAATTTTTATCATCAATACATTGTTGTGTTATAATGCTCTGTTTATTTCAACTTAATTTATGTATTATTATTCTTTTCGTTGCTTCAATTTTCAAAATTTGATTATGATTATGATGAACGTTTTTGGATTGTTCATACTTTGTTATGAATATTTCGCTGCTTCAATTTATTTCATTGCTCTATGTTTGAAAATTGCGTGATTTTGTTTTTATGCTTTTATTTTTTTTTTTTGGATCATTTTTATATTTAAAATTAATCAATTATGTGTTATCATTTGTACTTCTTAATTTTTTTATGTCATATATGATTATTTGTTTTTACCATTTTTTCTTGATAATATTATGTGTCAAAATTTTCCATATTGATCATGTGCAATTTTGCTATTGAACATTGTATTTGTTAATTATTGTTCATTTTTGAAACATGTTATGTTCATTTATAATTGTACATTAAAACTTTGTGCAATGAGAAAAAAAACTGATATTTCATATCTTGCTAAGGTTTTGATCTTATCTGTTTATTTAAGTGTTTGAAATTGAACATTTATATATTTTAATATGATCATTTAACTTTTATTTGAAGGCGAAGGATTTAGTGTTTAAAGGATTTAATATGATCATTTTTTGAAACTTGTTATGTTCATTTATAATTGTATATTAAAACTTTGTGCAGTGGGAAAAAAAGCTGATATTTCATATCTTGCTAAAGTTTTGTTTTTCTTATCTGTTTATTTAAGTGTTTGTAATTGAACATTTATATATTTTAATATGATCATTTAATTTGTTTTGCAGTCGAAGGATTTAAATATTCCTATAAATAAAAGTGTTGCTGGTGTTTCTGCTGCTCAAGCTCAATGTAATGTTCCTATAAATAAAGGTGGTGCTGGTGTTAAAAATGATGCTCAAGTTAATCCAAGAGTACTAATGCGTCTACAAAATCTCAAACTAGATATTTTGTTCCACCCGTAGTTCTTGGCATTGTTCCAACTTCAACTCAGGATTGTTCAAACTTCAATCTAGAAATGTTTAAACCCCATTCCAGAAATGTTCAATCGACAAATGTTTAAGTTATTCCTCCCACGGTTCCAATAAATGATCAAGGTGCTCTTGTTCAAAGTTCTTCAAGTGTTAAAGACATAAGAATTTGTTTCTATATAGTACCTTTTTTAGTATATTGTTTTTTTAAAATTCAACATATGTAAATGATTATTTATCAATTTGAAAATGAACAAAAGTAAAGAACCAACAACCAATTCATAAAACCTAAAAATTATATATATTTTTTCATACAAATAAAGATTAAAATGAAATATCAATTACAATAATTTTTTTAACAAATAATATCTATAAGTCTATTTTCCTCCAAAAAAAAATCATCTATAAAACTATATACTTCCTCCGTTTTCTTTTACTTGCAACACACCTTTTAGGCACGCAATTTTAGGAGATGATTAGTGAGGGTAAACGAGCTATTTTATCAATATAATTTTTACACGAAGATTAGAATAGGGTTAAGTATCATTTGTAAAAATTATAATGAATAATTTATCCGTTTACATTATATAAACCCGACCTCAAAACACGTGCCACAAGGCTGTGTTGCAAGTAAAAAGAAATGGAGGAAGTTTAAGATATGATCATATACACATTCATTAATGAACATATACACTTTCATAAATGAACATATAACATGTACTATTCATTTGCAAACTTCCTTGCTTATCTTCGATTTAACCTATATTTAGTGTTTTTCTTCAAATAACATCAGTTCCGCATCCTTGCTTCCTAATTTGGTTCACCTGTTGAACAAAATGAATTAACAAATGTTAATTATTATATACACTACTTTATAAATGAACAATATATCTTACATTATTGAACATTTATCACTTTTACACTATTTGGTTTCAAATCACAAATCTAACTCTCATTAAGTTTAGTAGTGAATGTTTCTATATGCTTCATAATTTATACTCCGCAGTTTGTATAATCAGCGTTGTTAAGCCATTTTATCTTCTCCAAAACAACTACGTATTCTTCAATTCCATGTGCAAATTTATATCAAATGTGTAACTTTGGACATCACTACAATATAGCTAGATTGGTTGTAAGATATTAGTTTTAATGCATACAAATGAACATTCTCAATATTATACATGAGGATAATGTATAAAAGAAATGAACATTCGTTATTTAGGCATATAAATATATATGTAAACTGAAATGAACCAATATTAACATATATTTTAAAATGAACATTACTTTATATGTAAATGAACATTATGAATTTCATAAATGATCAAAAGATTTGATAGAATAAATAAGTCAGTTTCTCAACTCAAATGAATGATTATTTATGCATTTCATAAATGTGCATAACATATCATAAAAATGAACATTATTTATTTAGGCATATAAAGTCAAATATAAACTCAAATAAACTCAAATATACAAATGAACATTTATAATTCTATATATGTTCATATATTAACTCGGAATCGTAGAAATGTTAACATCTATACCATAAGACTTTTTAATATCTTTTAAAAGTTCTAGATCTACAACTTGAGACTTTTGTTCGTTGTTTTTTTTTAAAAAAAAATTTCTACTCTTGTTTAAATAGGTTTTTGAAATAATACTTACGTTTCTTCAGACTATGCCTTGTTATGTTCAACGAACATGATTCTTCTCTGAATCATCATTCTCTTTATCTCTCTAATTCGAAATATATTTTTCGGTTCTGTAAAAAATAAAAAAACACAAAACATAGTAGATTTTAATGATTTTTGCATAAAATAGTTCTAATCAAGTTAGATTATGTTTCTGAACATGTAATTTCAAAATGAAATACGTAGTAGAAAAAATAGGTTCATACAAAAAAAATTAGTAAAATTACTTACTCTTTCTGTGAATGTTGTTGCGATTGTTGAATTTCTTCGCAAATGTAGACATTTGAAGGAATTTAGCAATATTTTGAAGCAATTTCGTAGTATTTTGAAGCAATTTTGTAGTATTTTGAAGCAATTTTGGTTCATATTTTCTAGTTTTGATGAGAGAGAAAGTCTAGAGAAATGAAGAAGAAGGTTTTAGAGAGAATGGTAGGTAGTTACAGTAGGTTAGTGGGTTATGGGATGTGGGTAACATGATAAACGCATCGTTTAGAGGGGGTGTAGGTATCCCTACCTACACTAGGGTCTAGTGTATACCAATTACTTGATATGAGCTTCAAATTGACGAAAATATTTTGTTGTCGAGAAGTTGTGAAATATTTCGACACTCCAGCGTTTACGGTGGTGCAATGATTGCCATCGGAAAAATATGTCGTGATATAGTGGCGATGAGCAGGAATAACTAGTAGAGAAGAGAGAATAATGGACAGAAGAAGAGTATGTTTGAAGAGACAGAATTTAGAATAACGTATATTAGGTTAGAATTTGAAATTCATAAAACATAACTGATTTATGTAATGGCTTGGAATTGGGCCAAATACAATTCCAAAATTTTGAAGTATCCAAACTATATAATTGGCCCAATTTCGGAATTTGAAATGAAATCATGCAATCCAAACATGATTTTCTAATTTCATAAATATTTAGAGAAGCCAAAGGAGGGGGCAATTCTCATGTTTTGTGGAAAGTTTATTTCATTCCCAAGAAAGTTAAACTTCCTCCATTGTACTTTTTGTTGTCAACCAAACAACAATTATTTAAAATCCCTAGCGCATGAGTTAACACAACCCACACTATTGCCATATATACGGTGTTGGTACACATTAGATTTGTACATATTAGGTTATTTTTACATACTAACATATAAGTATACAATTGACCGATTCCCATACCTTATTTAGGAAAAAATTTAACAATTGACTGCAACAACTTACAACCGCCTCTATACCTCCGCTAGTATTGAATGCGTCTATTCAGGTTAAGATTGTACATATTTTGACATCCACAAGATCGATACCAGTTGTACAGTCTGCACCAATGTTCCTTCTATTCTACTTGAATGAAGCTATTGATTGTCAATAAGAGTATCAATTACCTATTGCTAATCCTCCTCTCTGTTTCTCTCAATAGACTTCATTGCTTCTTCAAATGACTTCTGAAAAAACACAAAAAGCACTTTATATAATCACATCAATACATATGCAAATCAATTTATATTAAACAGAAAGTATTGTATTAACCAACACCAAATCACAAAATCATGCTGAAGAAACTAAGAATCGGTGTGAAAGTCACATGAAATTAAGATAAAGGCATCTATTGCTGAAAACAAAAACATGAAATAAGCCTATAGCTTCGTGCTCCTTTATACAATTTTATTGTTCAATTAGGCAAAAAGCTAAGGCTTGGATGGGTAAAAATCTCCAGTCATATACATGTCCCTTTTTAGCTTTTCTAGCCAGCCAATGGTTGAACTAATATGGAAATTGTAAACTGATCATCAGAACTCAACAAGCCTATCAACTGAAAGCCTCAGCTGATGATGCAGGCTATTTTTTTCTTTTATGTATGGGAGGGGGGGTGGGGTGATGCGCCAGGAGATGAGAGGTTGGAAGGCAGGGCCTAGGAAGTCTTGGCTTATAGTCCAGAGAAGATATTTGAGCCCACAATGGACAAATATCAAGCAAGCCTCCTATCTCACAATAGGAAACTAGGCAATAGGCACAAATACAAGAAGTTATGTCGTACTACTTACAAATTATAGTGAGCAACAAAGATTGGGGACTAAAAGAGCACATATCTATCTGTGATAAAAACTGGCTTACTACTTTCAGTACTTTCAGATTAAATACCCCAGGATTTTGCATCTTCCACAGAGCTTCTCCACTCATGTCAATGACTACTGTCCCGCCTAGTAATATACTGCAAAAGTGGAACATAAAAAACGATGTTAAATAGCCATTAGAAATTTTTAAGTCATTACAAATAATTCATTATTCTACTCCAGAATGTTAGGTATCAATTTAACCAAAAAGGAAAAACCAAGAAGATACATAAATTCTTTCAAACTTCACTTTCACAGTTAGTTTACAGATCCAACTACTTGCAAAACCAACATGTTAAGTGGTCATTGCAATATAATGTACTTTTGCTCAACTCCATTATAATTATGTACTCAGTATAAGACAAGATCATAGATGACTTGGCATTACAAAATAGATCAATGAAAGTATGAATACTTTACGCAGGCTGGATGACAGTTGATATAGACAAACATCAACCATTATACTTAACTAGAGAGATATTTAGTAATAATGAAAGAAGAAATTTATAGGGTGTGAAGATCACAAGTCCTTCACGAGCTACCAATAACACTATTTTTTTTGTAGAAACAAAAGACATCAAGCTGCGAATATCGGCTGTGAGATTATTGAAAGCCTTACTCAACCGCAAGCAAACAAACTGATAATCTTCCATAGAAAGGACATCAACGTATTCTTCAACAGTTGATAGCTGGCCTTGCCAGTATAGTAGACAGTTTTTTTTTTGGGACATTCAAAGTTTCAAAATTTTATAGTTAGTAAAAATTCCTTAATGTACTGCTCACACAAAAGCTTTTTGAATCGCTTTGGTCTTGTAGTCTTTCAAAAAAAAAAAAAAAAGGAGAGAGAGATATCGGTTTACTTTAGCTGATTGACACATCATAGAGGATTACCAGGGGTCACTTATTCACCAAAGGTTCCCAAAGGATCAAACCTCTAACAAAAATAGGTATAGCTAGATTGAAAAGGAAAAAAAGAAGGAAAAAAAACAGACAAAAACTTAAAACAGAGCTTCCATCTCAAGTTACATGTTCAGCCCATCACTTTGAAGACTCTGTTAGCTTTCAATCACAATGTCCTCGATGGAGTTTGACTTCAAGGGGGAAACATCATAAACATTTATACCATAAAAGAGAGATTCTTGAACACAATTAATCTCTTCTTCCTCAGGCTTACAAACACAGGTTAGTAGGTAAAATTGTCCACCCCAATCCAGGAGCCTTGCATAAAGAAATGGCAAAGAGATAAAAAGAAATATGAGAATCCCAAACCTGAAATAAAGCCAACTATCTTTGAGCCATCTGGCCCTCATAAAGACCCTGTCAATCACTAGACTCTAGTTCAGCAGTCCTAATGATGATTTAACTCAGAACCTGAAATTGCTTCTAATTCTCTAAGAAATTTGGGGGCTATTTACGAAGTGTACATGATGCTGTTTGTGGAAGGCATTCATTATAATTGGCTTCAAGAAATTTCTAGAAGTTGAGAATTACCAAGTCATGCCAAGGACAACAAGCAGAAAGAACAGGAAATGGCTGGAGTGCTTGACGGCTTAGTAGTTTTGTGTTTGTTTTGATGTATAGATGCTGTGTTTCTTTTTTTTTTCTTTTTTTTTTTTTTTTTTTTTTTTGTGGTGTTCTGCTTTGGGGATGTGTATATGTAGGGTGGCTAGCTTTTGTGTAGCCTTGTTGTTTGTACAAGTTTTTTGAACCATTAATAGTATTTTTTACCTTTTTCAAAAAAAAAATAAAAAAATCAATCTAGAAGTTAGTGGTTTAAAAAACCATCTATAAATTTTAGATTTTCAGATCTACTAAGATTTACACTTTTTAACTTGGCTGTTAGATTAACTTTTTGGTCCAATTAAGGCTAGCTGTACTGTTTTGTTGGCTTGGTAACAGTAGTGTAAGCATGATGTGATAGGCCTGGTAATAGCAGGCTATTAAATTATTGTACTCCCTCCATCCTCAAACTATTGTCCTCTTAGGCTCGGTGTTAGAATCCAACCTCCTTTTCATGTTTTAGAATTTAAATGCTTTCTAGGCTTTTGTTTAAGTTTCCTAGGCCCTGGATGTTATTACTATGTTTTTGTCAACCCAGCATTTACAGGGAAAACATCGTAAATCCAAAAGGAAGCTCTTTAGGGAGCAAGAGATTAATGAAATCCAAAAGCTTACTACCAAGTGTTAACTCGCTTTTATGTTGTGTTATTAGACCTCTATACATATTGTGTTGTCACATGCAAATTAGGACCCCAAACTCACTATATACTAAAACTCGTGATTTGGTCTTGCCTATGTCCGCCTTGACTAGCTCGGCCATCACAAGCCTCGATCACTTGCACTTCATCACCAAAAAGATAGTGCCCCTTGTGATTTAGATGCCCTCTTATACTGCTTTGTGCTCACAAGCCTCGAATCTGCACAAGTCTTGCACCCTTGCTGCCAATAGGCAAGAAAGCGACGCACAATTTGGTGTCAAAACACTCAAACCGTGACACTTGGGCAGACATACTAAGAAGAAATAATGCGATAGTGTGGGAGTTTTTGGTAAAAAGTGGAAAACTAAGAACAAAAACATTTGATTGTTGGAAAAAAAGTTAGTAGAAAATCCTACATCTCATAAGATATGGATTGAAATAGATAACGGTGAGGCGCATATCACATAAATTGGATGAGTAAATTATCCATTTAAGGTAATGGAACATTATTATAGGGATTGACTAAAATAGTATACCAATAACCAAAACAATTATTTTAGGACAGAGGGAGTAATCAGTTTAATTGTTGGATGATTGCTTACTTTTGTTTTGGTGTATGATTTATGGGCCTTGTGCATGAAGAGTCCTTAGAAGTAAACTCCTTACAAGAAGATGGGTGCATTTGGATACTAATTCTGTCTGGGTCTAGTTAAAGGAATATGTATTTGTATGCTTTTAAATTATCAAGCTTTATTGTATTCTTAATCATTGCGGGTTATTAATATCATACTTCATTGCAAGAAATAGAAGGATGGGAGGAGGGAGGAGGGAGGAGGGGGGAGGAGAGTGGTTGGTGCCACTGTATGAGGGAGAGAGAGAGTATGCAAAAAGCTGGTGCTCTGCCCACAGGTTACTAGATAAGGAGGCTATGTGTGCTATAGGGTGCATCAAGTATAGTACTCGATAGGCTGGCAGTGAGGGTGGTTCTGTAAGAGTTTTGAGAGTGAAGATGCATAAGTCTCAAAGAAAGTAAATGTAAAATGAAAATCTGAGAGAAAAGAGAAAGCTTTAACTTTCAACAAAAAGAAATGAAAGCATAGTTGCATCATAATTTAACGGTCAAAGTTAATAAGACAAATGAAGGAAGGATATTGCAAGGTAACAGTTCATTAAAAACACAGAAGTACAAAATAAAAATAAAAATTTTCCTTCTTTATCAAGCAATACCGGAAGTTGAACACCGCATTCAACCAAACATAAAATAGCACTCTTTCATACTTCCTTCTATTATAAAGTTTTCCTAAATTTTCTTTCCACAATTTGAACCAAACAGCTCCTAAACATTCTCTAATAAGTAACAAAATGATATCCAACTCACAACACCTCCACCAAAGAAAATCACATATATAGTCACTAGTCTCACTACCTCTGCCAAGATGCGTAGGTGACATAGTGAAAAGCTTTCTCCTCCATAACTTTATCCAAGAATTTTCACTACTCCGTCGTAGCCTCTTTCACATTCTAACTTAGAAATGACTCCAAATCATCCCCCCTCTAGAATATAAAGAATAGTCCACAACCTTACACCAAAAGACATTACATCTAAATTCTATCTCACCTATAGAAAACAAAGTTCTTGAATTAAAAAGAATAAATATTAGATCTTCAAAAAGAATTCACTGTATGGTAGTCACTACATCCTCAGCCAAGGTGCCTAGGTGACAGAGCGAAAAGCTTTCTTCTCCATAACTTCATCCAAGAAGTTTCACTACTCCATCATAGCCTCTTTCATAGTCTAGCTTAGAAATGACACCAAATCATCCCACCTCTGCAATATAAAGAATAGTCCACAACCTTACGCCAAAAAGACATACATCCAAATTCTACCTCACCTATCGAAAACAAAGTTCTTGAACTTTAAAGAATAAAAATTAGAGAAGTACTAATAGCTAATTGGTACAGAGGTACCTTCATCTTTATACAAATATAAAATATCATTCCTTGATATATGGCTTAAAAATATTACCAACACAAAAGTTTCGATGACAAACAGCTGATGAACCAAGTGTTAGGTTTGAACACGGTGACTTCTTACAAATAAGCCTAACATATTTATGAAGTCCTAACTCTTATTCATTAAAGACTAAACCTTTGGGTCAATTTTAGTTCCTAAGGCCCAAACTCAAATGATCATACAACCCATCATTAAATTGCATGATATAACTTAAAGTTTTCTAAATTGAATTGTGTAGCTCATTCTTAAACCTTATTTATTTTTCATCTATATATACTATATCCTTAAACAGACAATATAATTTTTATTGTATCCCCTTGATTTTCTCTTTTTATTTCTTAACTTTTCACGTATGGTTTTTGTCAGTCAGCATACTGAAGCCAATTCTCACCAATTTATGGTCAAAATTAGCTTTTTGCCATTTCTGACAAAGTTGTTCCTCAGAAAAGAGTTAAGGATAAAAAACTGCTCGATTCGGAGTTATACTCTAAAAGTGCCTTCTTTTACTTCGTTTTTCTTTTCTCCTCTCCCAGCAACCCTCAACGCCAATGTCAAGTGACGGTGGACCGGTGGTGCTCGGCGGAGGTGAGAGACAGAATGTAGAAAATTCAAATCAGCTTAAGTTATTCAACTACTGGACATAATTAAAGAGGCCTTCTGCAGATATCTCTGTTGAGCTCAAATCTGGAACAGTTTCTATTCTAAACAGAGCAAGTTCTGAATAAGACACAGGTGTATCTTGGTCAATTCAGCCAACTGCAGGGGTGCAGCAGTACTTGCTTGAAGATACCGATCAATTTAGACTGATGATAACTAGTTAAGCACTAATAAAACTAGAGAAGTTAATTAACTATGGTGGCTGTAATGGAGATTATAAACATTTAAAGTAAACAACTTGCTGTGTAGTGCAGCTCAACTACTTAAGAAGAGAAGGTTTGGAAGTTAAATCATCACCTTAAGAAGCAGAAATATAGTTCAAGGAACTTGAAGAGTGTCAGAACAGCTTCCATCAAGTGGTTTTTAGAGAGAAATATCTTTCAATCATGATAAGAGTTGTTAGAATATTCTTCCAATTTAACACATATGTACAATTTAGTAATGTTATTTCATTTTATTTTCCTTAGCTAAAAGAGAAGGTTCTCTAATGCTCTATAACTAGAAGCACTTCCCATTATACAAAAAACTTTTGAATATAATGAATATATATATTGGGTTTGCATTTGGTATAATGTCTCTATAGTGGATGTTAAGAGTATAAATGAATGCAAAAGCTAGGTTGTGCTCGGGTGTGATGCCTAAGAGAGTAAATCAATATCCTTTCCAAAAAAAGGTCAAGGAATTTTAGGTGTAATATGCCTAGGGGGTCCCTTTGCAGCTCTTCAATTTACTGAGAGTATAATGGATTTTAGATTTGATATAAGATAGGTCAATAAGTTTATAATGAGCTTAAGTACAAAAATTCTCAAATGAAAGATTACCATATTGCCTATCTTTTCCTTAGCCCTTTACACCAGTAGTGTAAATCAGTTTCCTCAGTTTATATTGTTCCTTTCTTGCGAAGTCTTCTCTGTTTTTTTTTTCCCTCTCTCTCTCTCTTTTTTTTTCGTTTTTTCTTCTTTTTTTTTCTCTCTTCCCTACTAGTTCCAATGGAGTCCTTCCAATAGAACGTCACAACAGTGAGAAGAAAAAAAATTCTATTCACAAGCTCCAATTAGGAATCTTTTACACTACTTCAGATAGCATTTTAAGTTCCTCCAAATGACTTTCCACAGTCACCTACATGCAACCATCAAATGTTGAAATGCATTTTCAATAAATGTTCAGTGTCAAATGCAATTAAACACACAGAACACCTTGTCGGTAACGGAAATCCAGTGAGATTGCCTACATCTGATTGTCCTAACAACATCCACTACATTGACACTAGCATACTTAAACCACATGGTTCCAAGACTTCCAACTTCAAATTGTCTCTCCTAACTCTTAACCCATATGCTCTCTTTTGACCATTTTCTCTCAATCATCTCTATCCTATAACTCCTTCTCTATCGCATCCATTGTTATTTCTCTACCTACTCTCTCCATAAAAATAAAAATAAAATAAAAATTAAATTAAAAAAAGGCTAGTTTCCCAGATAGAAAAGCAGGCAGCTATACAAATCGCACTCCCCCGATTCCCATGAAAACAACTCAACCAGTATAACACATTATTCAGAATCCTATAATCATCCCGAAATAACAGTTGCACTATAATAGTTTACAATTCCCATATGCTCTCTCCTAACTCTTAACCCATATGCTCTCTTTTGACCATTTTCTCTCAATCATCTCTATCCTATAACTCCTTTCTCTATCCCATCCACTGTTATTTCTCTACCTACTATCTCCTTTAAAAAAAATAAAAAAATAAAAAAATAAAAAAATAAAAACTAGTTTCCCGTTTAGGCAGGCAGGCAGCTATACAAATCGTACTCCCTCGATTCCCATGAAAACAATTCAACCAGCATAACACATTATTCAGAATCCTATAATCATCCCGAAATAACAATTGCACTATAATAATTTACAATTCCCTTGATCCTAACCCACAAATACTCCATCAATTCACAATTCTACAAAAACATCAACAAAAACCAACACATTATTCAGAACCCTAAATCATCCTTAAATTACAATAATACAATTATACTACTAGTATATTATTCAGAATCCTAACCATCCTTTAATTACAATAGTCCGGGACTATATTTTTCTAATTGTTAACAATTTCCACAAATACTCCACTAATTCACATCTCTATAATAACAACAATAACAAACATAATAGATTGAAAATGCACTTAAAACAACCAAACGAATAATAACGAAGAGAAAGAAATATGTACCCAGCAAAGGCAAGATGAAGAAGGAAAGAACGAGTCGTCATATATCGAAAAACGGCGTCTAAATTCGTCGCAAAGCGATTAGCTCCAGACGACGACGATGGTGGCGGTCGATAATAAGTGCCACCGCGACGATAATAACCAGCATTGTAACTGCTGTTATTATTATTATAAAAATTGTTAGATCCGCCACTGCTGTATCTGCTCAAATTATAAGCAGCACGCTTTCGATCATCAATTAAAACTTCGTAAGCTTCAGAAACTTGCTTGAATTTAAGAGTTACAGCATCTTTTGCAGACTTTGATGATTGCGCGTGTTTATCGGGGTGAAATTGAACCGCTAATTTACGAAAAGCATCTTTAATTTCTGATTTTGACGCATTTTTTGTGATTCCTAAGATTCTGTAATGATCCGCCATTGATGATCAGTGTTGGAGAATTGGAATGTCGAATTGTGATTTCGTTTGTGTGATGCGACGTTATGATTTTCTGGTGTTCGTTGGAAGAAAGAAGTAGTTTCGAGAAGTCGCGATTCCAGGAATTTGTTATTATGGGTTCGGAATTTTCAAACGCATACAATGACGTCTAGTATCATAATTAAAAATAAAATTTTAAGTTGATAAATCAGGTGTGCACAATACATATGTTGATTTGGGGTATTGGAGGTTTATTTAATTTTAAGACAGTTCATTAGTTAGAATTTGATTTGGGGAGGATAAAAGAAAAAATGATGATTTTAACAAATAACATTTCCAAAAAATACTCTAAACATTTCAATTCCAGACAATAAAAGAGCCCAAAATATATATATTCACATTAACATTTACTATTTCACATCATTATGGTTTCGAACCCAGTACCTATTGTCTGAAAATGCAAATCATTCACCACTAGACCAATTGAGCGCACATTGTAAATATTCGCATCGTTTATTATTTATACCTTTGTTTTTTTCCCATTTTTAACGAAACCTACCAGATTTTTTCGGATCCAGTTTGGGTTCAGCTGAACCCACTGAACTCATACTGGAATCGCCTCTGGTTTCGAGTGAGATGACATGGGTGAGTTACGTTGCATTCAGAGAAAAAAGTGTTGATAATTTGATACGATCTGTGCGAATAAAGGTAAGGGTGATAGCGAGGCGTCGTGGCTTCGTTTTCTTCCGCCATCATATTCGGATTCTGACTTGAGGGATAATGATAGTAATTAGAGGTTTAGAGTTCTTCTTCCGATTTTAAGAGATATTGAGATCGATTTACATCACTTGTCCTCGTGACTCTCTAACTCCAAACAAAAATGTAGGATTCTAGCCATAATGAGTCGAGATTGTAAACATTTCGTGTCGTGTATGTTTGAATTAATGTCGCTCTATTAGGTCCTTTTTTGGCTTCTAAGCAAAGCTCAAGCGTGTTATTATTATTTTATTATTAGGAAAAATTAGCCGCAGCAACACCAACTATTACAAAGTGCTTGTAGTAACACAACCTTTTAAGGGTGCATTCTGCATATCAAACTATACACTTAGGTGCACATAATAACATTAACATCAATGATACTGGAAAATTGAGATTTTTGCCAGAAATCTAAATTTTGCCAAAAAAAAAACAAGAATTTGAAATATTTTTTAGATTTTTTTTATTGTCACGTGAATGATTTATTACACCCCTCTACGGCTCTACCTCTCCATTTAATTTTCTTCCTATGTATTCCTATCACTGTCTCGTCAACATTGAGGATAAACTCCGTTGGGAGTTGAAGACATGTTAAGGTACTGATAGGTTGTCGTACACCTGTAAAAAATAAATTCCTAACAAAACCAACTAACAATGTAGTAGGGTAAGTAGGGTCGAATCCACAGAGAGATAGCTATTTAATCTAACCTTTAAGAATTTGGTGAAACTAAACTATGACACGAAATTCGGATAGAAAGGTAGTCTAAATTAAAATAGGAATAAAAGAACTACTAAAAAAAACCTAGGGTTATGGTTCACCATGCTTATAATTCTAAATCTATCAAATATCAATAATGAATTCAATTATCTAGAGCAATTGCTAAGCCTACGGTCGGGTCTTAACGCTCTCAATTCAACATATGTAGTTCGGTCGCTAACATAATCAGAATTGCTAATTGTAGGTAAGCTTCTAAAAGTAAGATCGTTTGATTCAAACTCTTATTAACAATAATTAATCAAACAATTGATCAGGTTGCAAGATTAACAACAAAACACTATCAATTAGAGAAATTAATAATCAAAATATTAAAAACATCAATCAAGATTCATTGTATAAACATGGATTCCCAAACCCTAGAAATAAATTACTCAAACATGGAAGAAATAATTAAAACTAGATCTAAGAAATAAAACATAATTAAAAGTAAGAGATAGAAATAAAATACCTCAATGAATTGAAATAATAAACCCAAAAATCATCCATGAAAGAATCCATGGAGATGCCATGAGAAATTAGGGTTCAAGAGAAAACTCAAAAGAACGTAAAATAATAAAAAAGCATAAAAAGGCATAAGGGGAAATATTAATCCCTTGGTATATTTATAAACTTCCTAAATCTAATCTAAAAATAATTAAAGAAAAGAAATAAGAAAATAATATATACATAAGTTGCAATATTATTGGATGATAGAAGGTGACGTGGCATGAATAATATCGATGGAAACGAGGGACGAGTGATGTGCAACAACGAAACCTCATGGTTGTGGGCTGGTCATGCACTCGCCAAATCCTGTGGGCGCAGGTCAGCCTCGCGCCCTGGCAGTAGCTACAGAGCCTCGATTGGGCGCGGGGTATGGTCGCAGGCGACCCTTGTGAATGCTAACTCAAATATCGTTTAACTTCGTTTCTAACTCAAATTCATTTCTGAAAGATGCATAGCGACCCTTGTGAATGCTATATTCATTTCTCATGCATATAAATCTCAAAATCAACATACACGAACATGGTATCTACGATTAATAAGCTCGATTCGTCGGTTTCCATCTAAATATCATCCGAATCAACTCCAAACACTTCAAAAGCGTCCAAATGACTATAAATCACCTGAAACACCAAGACAAACACAAACAAAGCGTAATAGAATACAAAATGGACAACTTATGCAATTGCGACCTAAAAAGCGACAAAAGACTCAAAAAGTAACTATAAAACTAGCATAAACGTGCCTATAAACTCTATATAAATATGATTTATCAGGTACGCAATTTTCACACCCCAGGATTAATGTAATTAAGTTTGATTTATTGTGAGTAATTGAGAAAGAAAATTTTATTTTTAGGTTAATAATTGCAAATATTTTAACTGGATGGGTACGAAAGAATACTTAACACGTGCAATTGAGGTGATGAATGGTTTGGTCGACAAGTATTAGAAGGTGAAATAGAAATCTGATATGGCAAAACTTTTGCGGTCCAATTCAATTGACACATTGAAAAAAACATAGAGTTTAAGAAATATTTGAGTTAGATAGTTTTATTGAATTATTTATTGTAAAGTAAATTTAGTACTATTGATAAAAATAGTGCTTGCTAAATTGGTCGTTCGGGTTGTGTACGGGTCGGGTCGGGTCAATCAATAATATTCGAGTCGGGTCAGAGTCGGATTTTGGATCGATTTCAGGTCAATGGTAATTTGGGTCGAGTATCGGGTCAACACTTTGGGTCAAGTTCGGGTCGGGTTGATCGGGCCGGGTCAATTCAGGTCAGGTCAGTCTTCAGGTCCAACTATAAGTTCTAGTTTGGGTCGGGTCAAATTCGAATTGGGTCAATTCGGGTCAGGTCAATCTTCGTCTATGTCGATGTAGAGATTTGACCAATAATATATTATAATTATCAATAAGTATAAAGTATAACAATTGACTATTAATAATATATTTATTAGACAATTTCAACAGTACTATATACACAAGACTATATTGTTTCATTTGTATGATCACTATCATTGATTAACTGCTCAAAATTTCACATTAGATAAAGTGAATAGTGGAAAAAATTTCAATGTAACACTTAAAAGAATAAGCTAAGGGTAATAGTAATCTAATTATATATAAATAAATAGGTACTTTTCAAGAGCATTCGGCGCACCACATAAGCAAAGTTATTATTTCAATCAATTGAAAATTAGATTTTTATTTTATTTTAGAATTAAAAAATTCACTCGCCATCTAAGAAAAAATGACGAATGAGATTTGAGAATTTTGCCCCGTAGGTAAAAACAACGAATTATGATTTATTAGGATTTAAACTATTTAAAAGGATAAAAATTATTTTTTTAAGAACAAAAGATTATCATTAGATATTCAAATTTAAATTACATAAAAAAAACGTATATGATAATTTACCCCAAAAAATGTATATGCTAACTTTAAAAAAAAAAATTGTATATGATAATTTTTTAGAAAAATGTAAATATATGGGAAATATTTTCATCGTGTAATTATCAAATTTAAAATATGATAATTTAGAATAAAAATACTTATATGATAATTTATTTTTAAAAAGCGTACTGCTATTATTATTTTAGGGGAAAGATGTATAATTTTACAAAATATTATGAAAACATGTTATATACTTATATTAACAAAAAAAAATATCATGAATAAAAATTTAAATCGAAGAAATATATAATAATAATAATAATAATAATAATAATAATAATAATAATAATAATAATCTTTTAAAATCTGATCTTATCCTAAAAATTTATTCTTTTAAATCTGATTTTTTAATTAAAAGGATACGTTTTGATTTTAAAAGATATTTATCAAAATTAAGGTTGTTAATTTTGTTAAGTTTAGATAATTATTGAGCAAAAGATTCTATATGGATAATAATTGATTTAATAATGAGATTATCCCATAATTATTTTTGGATAATAATTGATTTAAAATTTTGTGATTAGCTAGACAATTAGGATTGAATATCCTAAATTAGTTAGGATAATCATGGGAAATATATATGATTTATCTTCCATAATTAAAATAAGATTTGATTCTATCTCATACCTAAGATAGAATATATGATATTTTATGGTTGGTAATGAATAATATATGATATTATCTAATTGCAGTAATTTAATAAAATATGAGATATTAAGATGTCATGTTTCCTTAATTATGAACATTCGATGTTGTAGTAGTTTAGGAAAGCATGATGAGTGATTTATTATATGGCTCTTTATAATGTATGATAGTATTTATTGCTATATATAGACTAGTATGAACCATATATTCTAAATACAATTTGCGCATCGGTTCGTATTTTTGTAATCTAAATACGGTCTGCGTACCGTTAAGTATTTTTTGTAATTTATTTTATTTTATTTAAGTAGTAGGTAGAATAGTATTACAAGTTGCAGTTGATCCAAGAAACCAATGGAGTGAAGGCCCAAAGGAGCTAGATGGATGAGATCCATGAAGGTTCAAGTGAGAGTTTTACTTTATTAGTTTTTAGGATTAAGGGGTCATACTATGTCATGTTTATTTATGCATTAGTAGATTATGCATATTAGATTTTATTTATGTTGATTGATAATGCGCTAGAGTTCACTAAATAATCACAACATAATGAATCTAGGTCTCGGTAATATT